TGGTGGTGACCTCAACTAGCTCTGTGGAACAGGATGCCCTCTCACCTACTGAGGTGCTATTTTTAAATGTTGGAGGGAGTCAATTTTCAGTTACTAGACTTATAGGCACTTTCATCTGATCCATTTTTTTTCCATATGCATAGGCTGCTGGAGTCTTTGAAAGTCAATTGGCGGCGTCCATCTTGGAAAACAATGGGCAGCTTGCATTCCAAAAGCTTGCAACTACAACACTGGAAAAACTAATGCCGAGAATAGAAGGGCAAGGAGAGTTTGGGCAGGCAAGGTGGACGCTAGTGTATGCACCGCAGATCCCTAGTTTGCTTTCTGTTGATCCTACGATGGATCCTCTCAAATCCATAGCCAGCAATATTTCATTTTGTACAGAAGTTGAAGTCCAATTCGGGAAACGTCTTCAGGTAAAACTCTTCAACCCGCTTTTAATTCTTTTACTTCTCAAATTGGATGAACACCTTACATAGGGCTTTCATTGATGTGAAAGAAACTTTACTGGTATTGTTAACTTCTCATTTTCCTTCACTTTACATTTATGATCATTTAAGAGTATTCGTTTCTTTTTCCCTCAGGCCTCGATTGTTAGGCAAATGAAGGACTCAGAGATGGCAACGCAATGGACCTTGACCTACCGTCTTACCAGCCGCCTGCGGGTTCTCCTGCAGTCTGCTCCGTCAAATCGCCTCCTTTTCGAATATTCTGCCACATCTCTGGATTAGTCTGCTACCCTTTATTTTTTTTCCTTTTGATGTATCATTATTCTTTGCTCAAAATTGAATGAGCTCCTTTTTAAGTTGTACGCCGTCACTATGTAAATAGTTCAATATTTTATGATCAATGAAAGAAAATCACCAGTCTTAAGTTTCCAACACTCTAGGCTGGTTTGGTATTGCTGTGCTTTGAAAAAAAGCTGCTTCTGCTGTGCTGTGAGAATAAGCAGCTGTGAAATAAAGCAGCAGAGTGTTTGGTAAACTTTTTTGTAAAAGTGCTTTTGAAAAAAAAAAGCAGTATTAGAGTGTTTGGTAAACTTTTATGTAAAACAGATGTGAAAAAAAGCTGGTTTTTCAAAGCTAGGTTTTGCAGCTTCTTGTTTTTGGCTTTTTTTCATCCAAAACTGTGAAAAAAAGCTGAAGCTGAGTGTTTACCAAACACAAAAACAGCTCCCAGCTTTTTTTGATAGCAGCTTTTTTCAGAATCACCTCAGTACCAAACCAGGTCTATATGTTGTGACTTCCATTGTATCGTGACCCTTTTGGAAATGCTTATCTAGAAAGCACCTTTGCATATAAGTAAGTGCTTTTGTTAGCAGCATGTTGAAATTTTTTTACAAGAATGCCACAACTTCCTGGAATAGCACTTTTTATTTACAGGCTTGATGGATTGCCCTAATGATTAGTCAATTGTGTCCCAGGTTAAAACCCTCAACCTCAAGTACCAACGATTGTTAGGAAACAAGATTGTACTAAGATTTAGTTAGGGGCCGCGCGAACACAGGCTCCCGCTGTCACAAATTTTGACACTGGTTCTCCCGCTTGAGGAGACCATAGAGTGGCACCCCTCCTCTTTGTGCAATGGAGGTCACCAACCCTAGGCCATGGGGCTTCTAGATCCCCCATCGACCCTGTCCAGGTAAGTATGTTTCAACTCCCTCCGCCACCGTTTTTATACCCAATATTCTCACCCCCTCTCTTTGCTCTTAGCCGATGTGGGATTTGTCGAAACACGGAAACAACAGAATCAATCAAATTATGAATAAAATGCAACCAATTGTAACATACAAAATTTGTCATCTACCCTTACTCATCGTTTACCAAAAGAGAAACATAACGGAGTTTAAAGCCAAAATTTCGACAGGAATAGAGTAATTTTGTTCAAAATTCTTCAGTTTTGCGCAAGTGGGACGGCAAGAACAAATGAACTTGTCACCAGAATCTCCATGGATCCTTGTATGGAGGAACATAGTTTTCTGTGGGAGGGAGAAGGTGAAATGAAGCTACTGTTTTTTGCAAGATTGGCCCCACCTGCATCACATATAATGTACATAAATACTAAGCTGGAAGCATCAACAAAATTCAACTGAGAGAGAGAGAGAGAGAGAGAGAGAGAGAGGAGATTTACTATGTTCCATTGCTTATTGAGGGTTGAAGCATTTATAGAGTAAAAGTAACCTGCAATCGAGTTTTCGCAGTGTTCAAAAAGAGGTTCTAGAGTGTAATATTAACCCAATAAGCACATAGCAAACACATTTTCTAGTCGAAACACACATAAGTAGCTTCCTACCATCTCGTTCAGTTGTTGAAGCCACATAGTGTCTGTAATTGGTAGATTCATCAGCCTGCACGATTTGCAACTGTTGTAAGAATCAGGAAGAAACCAGAACAGTATATCAAATATTTCTTCACCAAAAACTGATGTTATAAAGAATGCTTACAGTTTTTGTGGGTGCCTTGCGAACAAGGTACTCATAGTACCAGTATGGCCGACCATCAATCTGTGGAAATAACAATGAGCCAAGCTTCATATGCATACACATATTACATTGTTACCAAGTAGATTTTAGAATGATGGCTTCAGCCACGTAAAACCAAGTAGGGGGCGGCAATCTTACTTCACCAGAGTGTGCATCGAGAACTTGACTCTCAGCCTGGCGCTGAGTTGAGGTGACACGCTGCAGAAAACTGTAGCCTGTGAGTTCAAATAAGCATCATCCAGTCCAACCACAATACTCAAAAGCAGAACAATATTCTCTCAAACGTCGATTAGGTACATTTGAGTGCTCCATCCCATCAAACCACAATACTCTTTTTTACAGACTACACTCAAGAAAATTGAAGGTAAATCGGTTTAACAGATGTTTACTAATCAGCCTTAAAACCACATTACCAATGCGGACTTGTCTGCCAAAACAGAATCAGCAACGTCTTTTGCAGTCCATGTACTCTTGTCTTGTGATTTTATAATCTTTGAATTCGGGGGACCTATCTGAATCAAAGGAAATTCAATTATAAACGTTCGCAAAGTAACGAAAGGGATTTTGCACATAACAACCAGTGATCTTATCAGGAGTTACCGAAATAGAAATGATGAGATTATCAACAATGTCAACGCGCTCAGAAACAATGCGCAGGCGTGCATCAGCTGCATAATATATAAAACAGTGTCCAGTGAGAATGTATAAGATCGTCGTTCATGACCATTACCAAAATACAGGTACAGATATATGGTAACCCAGAAAATATAAAAGAAGATGTAAAACTTCATCACTCTACTTATGAAGCTGAACTTACGAGATAATGGTGCGGCTGATGAATAACGCTCTGGCTTTCTCGATTCCACCCTTGAAACAGATGAAAAAAGAGTCAGGTTCCTACAAATTATATGCCCACGACCGATCCGAAGAATTCAACTAGTTTGCTTTTGTGCTGAGGAAAAAGAAAATTCACACCAGAAAACTAATATCAGCATTTCATTTGAAGGGGAAAAATGCATACCACTTGAAAAGGGCCTTCTTGGATGGCAACTCCATTGGGTACAGATAAGAATATGAATTTATTTCATCGACAAATGGAGCCATTTTCAAATCTTCCTCTGCAAGGGACCCTGCAACATTTGATTTTATGAGCAGAAGTGCTTCCTACAAATACAACACTTCTAGTTCTAGAAAAAGAGGTTTATGAGCAGAAGTGCTTCCCACAAAAGCAGTTCCCAAAGCAATAAACCAACCCATGCATTTTCAGTAACTGTAAATCAAGTGACCAAAACACCAAATTGTGAATTGAGAAAGTTCACCTGGAGATGGTAAGACTAGTAAAACTGGAGCAGAAAACCCAAACATGAGCAACTCTCTTCTGCCAACCCCATTTTCCAAACTGGGTTTTGAGTTGGCACTTGAACTTACTTGCCATTTTTTCTGCTGCATCACAACTCTACCTTGCTCTCTAAAGTACCAATAAAAATAAGAATTTAGGAAGATAATTAAATAAAAAATACATAGAATATAAATATATATAAAATAAATTCATAGATATTACAGAAAGTACCTGAGAAGGAGATTGGAAGGAAGAAGATGGTTGGATGTGAAGAGGGAGTGGGAAGGAGAGAGAACCACCATTGTATTTGTTGCTCTCTTCTTTCTTTTGCTTTGCCTTGAGTTCTCTCTCTCTTGCCTTCTTTCTTCTGTTGCCTCATCCACTCAATTGTCCCAACTCCCAACAAATGTTGAAAATCCAGTTTGTTTTAACTGGTGTGTGCTTGTAATAAAGAGGGTATTTTGGTCTCATTACCCACTGCCCAATCACACTCTGCCACGTAGCAGTGCTTATCCATGAAATCAAATGCAATGTAATTTTTTCAAACTAACAACGTGTTATTATCAATACACTTATGTTATAACATTCATACTCTGTAATCCGAAATACTATAAAACAAAAACTATTCAAGAAACACTAATTTTTGTTGTCATACGTCCAATTTGAAAAGAAAGAAAACATCTTTAAAAAACACTTTTATTCATACTCATTTTTATTGCAGACGTTTTAACTAGGAGCATGTTGAAATTTTAAATAAATCCAAAAAATCTTTAAACTTTTACCTGTCAAAGGTCTTTAAAAACGCTTTTATTAGTATAACATGCATCAGTAGCAACAACATTACGTAAAAATGTAACGGTAAATTTTTTTTCCAACAGAAAAGAGTTATCCGTGTTCGCAAACAGGGTTCCAAAAAGTTTATAGTAAATCCAGTAAAACGTCCGTGTCAATGTCATGCAAAGTGAATAGTCTTTATATTAATCTGGGCTTCCCTTTCCAAAACACACCAAAATATAGAGAGAGAATTCCCCAAAATTTTGTTCCGCTTTTACTCTCTCTCTCTCTCTCTCTCTCTCTCATTTCGTCCTCACAGCGATCTTGGAAATTAGGGTTTCAGGGACTCCGGGCGTTTCATTTGCTTCTCTGGAATTTGAAGATCGCCTCGCACTCGGTGAGCTTATGCCATTGATTCATGCTGTTGATATTTTTATTGATCTTTATCGTAATTCGGTTGCAAAATTACGGTGATTCGTGTTTCGGAATTGCTTTTTTCGTGATGTGACTCGAGTTGATGGTCTGAAGCTTTTGCAATTTTGTTGATCTGTATGTGTTTTTGTGTATGAACATGGAGGTGTTCTTGCTGGACTAGGGAGGAAGGTTTAGGTGATTGAGGAAAGTGAGATTTAATGCTTAATTGCTTGAATTTTGATGAGAAAACTAGTAATCGGATGTGGATTTTGATTAAAGTGAATCTTGTCTGCAGGTTATTTGCTTAAATCTTATATTTTTTTTTGTTTGAGGAAATTGGATATTTGGATGTGAATTGAGCATCGGATAGTGATCTGATATTGTCTTAAGCCGATCTTTGTGTGTCTACTAACTTTGACTAGCTCTGTTTGTAAAGGATTATGGATTTGGTAATTTGTTTTCTTTAGTTGTTTCAATTAGTAATTGTTGTGATTAAACACACACAGAGTGTTCGTTTTTGCAATATCTTTCCTCAAGAGATTCCTCTCGTCATGTAATAAAGATCAAAGATATGATATGGGATCGATCCCACCCTCCTAATGCTAAATATTTTGCTAGTAACACTCTCACCGCTAACTGAAAGTTCTTGGTACAACAGTTAATTTGTGCTTTGAGTAACTCCACAATAATGGACCAGGATACTTGTGGAACCCCCGTCTTTTTTTAAATATTGGCTTAATTTTGGCATGGAAGCTTAGCATTTTTGTTTCTTCAATGATTATATTCTTAATGTGGTCTGATAATATTGGGTTTTCCGGTTCTTTTAGAGTAGCAGATTTTTATGATTTAAGACCATGAAGCCAGGACTTTCTTCTTTGAATCCCTACGCAGCAGCATACATTCCAATCTCCAAGAGGGAGACAGATGATAGAACTTTTGTGACAACGAAAGATTCTAGCCGCAGCAATGAGTCAGTCTGGTTTGGGAACCCTCAAAATTTTACCCAGAATCAACACCATAGCAAAGCTTATCTTCAATCTGATGCCCCAGATGATAGAACTTTTGTGACAACAAAAGATTCTAGCCACAGCAACGAGTCAGTCTGGTTTGGGAACCCTCAAAATTTTACCCAGAATCAACACCATAGCAAAGCTTATCTTCAATCTGATGCCCCAGGGACTGCAACACTCCAGAGTCCAAAGTCTTATGCTGTAAAGAGCTACCCTGCCCATGGCTCTTATGGTTCATCGTCGCAGAATGTGAATAAAGTGTCAGAAAATGAAGACTTTGATATGGATATGGAATTTCTCGGACTGTCATTTCCTGGTATATCTGATCAGTCCCTTAGTGATGTTTATTTGGCGAATAGGGGTGACCTGGATGCCACGATTGACATGCTGAACCAACTTGAGGTGACTTTCATTTTTTTTGTTTAATGTTGGTGTTGTTAAATATTCTTCGTTTTGGAAAATATCATACATTATCCTCTGCCATCAGTCCACTACTTTAATGTTTGTTGTGCATTAGGTAAATACTCAAATACTGCTGCTCACAATTCAATAACAGTTGAATATTTAGCGTACCTGTTTATTTAGAGCACTTCAGGTTGTGGGGTTGTATCATTTATAACAGGTCAAAACTGGAAAGTCTTTATCCAATTTGAAGCACAATTGTGCATGTGCTGTGAGTTTGTGACCCACCTCGTGTCACCTTTCTTCAAGGAAAAAGAATAATCCTCCTTTCCTTCAACATATTTCTCTTTTGCAAGTTTGCAAGTTTTTTGTACTTTGCATGCGTTGGCATGGTTGAATAGTGCAAATAGTGTGTGATTCATTTGGCTTATAATTACAGTAATGTGTTTTGTATATCTGCTGTATTTCTTTGACGTGGTAGAAGTCCTTTTCTACTGTAAGTGTTTGGTTCTTTGCGATATGTCATATATGTGTGGAAAGTGTATTCCTGAGTGAAGAATCGTCTTGTTTCATTGATATGATGGAATATTGGACTGGTAATGATTGGCTACTAAAGTATTATTTGCTTATTGATTCTTGTTATTCATTGATATCGTCTTGTTTCCAGCCAATCAATGCCCATTCTTTTATTTGCTTACTACGGTATTTGCTTAAGACACGTATAGAGTGCACCGAACCTTTTGTTTGGTTGCAAGTCCAGCAAAGTTTTATTCTGAACTTGATAAAGTTAGAACATCCTGGAATATCCATCTCTGGGTGTTTGGTACCTTTAACGTTAACAACATATTGGAATTCGGTTTTTATGTTTATGATTATCAGCACTGAAATAATCTCTGCCGCCTGACTTAGATGTTTTATTATTTACCTTTGTCAGCATTTCGTTTAACTTTGGCACTCATCCCAAAAATCTCTGTGTCTTACTACAGTTGTGTGTAGTCGAGTCTTCTGAAAGTCTTCCAGACACTTTGGACATTGGAGATGTTTCTGAATCTGGGTTGGCAGGCAATAGTGCATGGAAGCTGAAGAACGTAGCAGGTGAAGCCAGCGGTTCACCCAAATCGTAGATCCCAAGCTCGTCTTCAGTTTTATTTTGTGGAAAACAAAGAAATGTCAGATGTTTTACCCTTTTGACATGTTTGGTTTTATGATTACATGAAGTATACAAATAGAGGATCGTCTCATGGGTGAGGCGGAGGCGGAGGCACACATAGTTTGACGATACATGGTTGTATAGTTGTTAGATGTTTGTGTTCCTAACTCTCATGTTTTTAGACACCTTCAAGATTTATGAGCCAAAAAGCTCACACTGCAATTTTCATGCAACTCGGTTTATTTTTTCCAAATGAAAGTGATTTGCAATTTCCTTTGTCACGTATCATTCTACTTAGTGCCTTAAAAGCTTCGATATAGCGGAAAATGTTTGGCTCCTCATGGTAGTTTCTCCCATATGAGCTGAGGTGTGCACATCATAATTCGACACTCTAAAAGGATTTTCATAGCACATGTACACCGTCACTGTGATGTCTCACAATTCGAAACTCTGAAAGGACTTTCATAGCACATGTACACCGTCACTGTGATGTCTCACAATTCAACACTCTGAAAGGACTTTCATAGCACATGTATACCGTCATTGTGGTGTCCCCCTCCCCCGCCCTGAAACCCCTTTACCTGTTGAATGGGCGCTTTGGACCCGATCCAGACGCGTAAGAAATTTATGCACGGTTTTGAAACGTTGAGACCGATCCAACTTTTAACGTTTTGCAGATTACATCTCCCCCGAAAATATAACTAGAATATAAACAAAACAAAATGTGAGCGTGATTTACATCCATCAAACGCGGTCCTAAATCATTTCCGACACTCAAAAATGTTCATAGATCGTACAAACGCTTTTAGAAAAAGCGAGCATGCATTTCTTTGAAAACCCCTACCAACTACTTTTCTAGAAAGTAAGTTTTAATTAAAATTTCGAGATTTTTATAACAAACGTGCTTCTTCGAGCATACGAGTGTTTCTTACAAAAGCAGTCATAAACGAAAAAATAACTTGAATGTTTAAAAAATGTTGTGCAGCTAAATGCCTACTTTATGGTTACTTTGTCTAACAACACTAGCAAAGCTTAAAGCTCCCGTTTGTGTTTGGAAAACGATTACACAAGGAAAAATATCCCTGACACGGTAGGAAACGATTTAATTTACAAAAAAAAAAAAAAAAAAAAAGGGGGAAGAATAAAATAAAATCAAAACCCTCTACTTTTAGGAACATTTTGCCGCCAGGCTATACCCGGCTGGGCAGCCGTTCCTCTATCTGGTTCGCCATAAAACTGACCAGCTCTCTGCGCCGGTGGTGGCGGAGCCCACCAGCCTTGCTGCACAGGAAGATTAGGATTTTGTACGTTGGGTGCCATCGGTTGAAGAGACTGCGGCTGGTTTGCTAAACTCATATGGGCTCCCGGCATTTGTTGCTGGTAACTGTTCAGCGGCGGCCGCGGTTGCAAACGCTGGTACTGAGTTTGGGGTTGGGAAGGTACATTAGGCTGCCACTCCGGGATGTCATCGTCATCGTCATTCCACGGATGAACTGCAACACTACTAGTCTGATGAAACGTATTACTACTACTACTACTACTACTATTGTTTTGTCCATATTTTTGTATCAGCTCTCTCATTTGATCTACAGGGCGAGAAGGGGTATGCGACTTGGGGTACAAGGGCGGCGCCGCCATTCCAGGCCCCCTAGATGAGGGCCTCTGGGCAGAAAACTGATTCGACCCACCAGGTGAAATTGAATTCAGGGAGATCATCTTCGTCCCGAGAAGCACCAGGGCCAAACCCGGGAGGAACATCATCAGTCGTCATCGTCATCCTGTGCAGGTGTAGTGTGGGTGGGAGGTAAGGCCCGGGACCGAGTCGGCTTAGATGTGTAGTTGGTATCGTGCTGCTGTCTCCTAGAAGATGTAGTAGTAGTAGTAGCAGCAGAAAACTGTTGCTTTTTCGAAATGTGTTTGTGGTGAGAGGATTTCGGCGAAGTTAATTTTCTCCAGACAATAACACCAAGGAGGCCATTATCAATAGTGTTAAGTGCCTCAATGTGCCCCTTCTCAATAATCTTGCTGAGCATGTCTACGGTTTTATTATGGGGAGGGCAAAAATAAATTTCCACGCCGGAACACGGCTCAGAAAAACCAACTCTCTCATCCGTTACGTACGAGTCAGCCACCTGCACGGCGGAACACAAGTTTTAGTACGAAAATAACAGACACATGTTGGGGAATGGGAGTTTACAGACGGATCTGGATCTGGATCTGCGTTTGATGTTTACCTCACGAATGCTTTCACATTCCGTTTCCGACGACCCCTCATCCGGAACAAAATGCACGACCTGCACAAAACGAAAATCAGTAAGCTGCAGCTGTATCAGACAAAAAGTAAATCATAAATAAATTGATCCAAAATTTCTAATGACCGAACGAAAGTCTATTTCATGCAACATTTTTGGTCAATCTTCGTTGGATACCATTTCCCCATTACACTCCTAAGTGATTAATTTTCTAACTCAGGTTATTGAATTATCCAAGTTTCATTCGCCCGTCCAAAACAAAGGCTGTAAAATACCGACAGTATTTCAAGCACAAAACGATTTAACACAAGTTCCAGACGCTGACGGGACTCTGGAGACCCCCATATAATGTCATATATCCTGCTCTATTACGTTAGACACTACAAAATCGTTTTCCCTTTCTTTAATTTTGCATTCGCGGAGTTTATGAATTGACAAAACTGCCCAGAAAAGCGACTGCACTGCATGATAGAACCAAGCGACCTCCAAAACGAAGTTTTCTAAATGTTTCCTTTTTTGAGTTATCACAGAATAACGTCATACAAGAATCTGTAAACAATAAAAATAAACTTGGAGATACCATGACAGCACGACTTCGGGATTGTGGCAGCTCTTGCAGGAACTTCTCAAAAGCATCGAGTCTGACTCTTCCCTTGATATCAAGACAATCAGGCCACTCTTTTGCACTGGTTTTTTCACCGCTGCAACAGAAAAGTTGGATTAGCATGAATCAGAAACAAAGACATTAGTCTAATACGGATTGCAGAATGCTTGAAAGCTTTACATTTGGCATGTATATGTGTGCATGTATGCATGCAATTTGCAATACCAAACAAAACACCCTTTTTGTCAAAGTATCAAACATAATTAATCAATGTCGATCTCCTAAATTTACCGAATTTCAATTCAAGTATCATCTTTAGTTTCAATTAGTTACTTCAGTTGAGCCATATTACTATCAAACAGAACACATGCATGGCCCTCTATACACAGATGAAAAAGAAGAGGGAGCAGAACCTAAAGTAGAATAAAAAGGAACATCTATCACAAACTTGTCACGGCAATGTAAATTTAACTTTAAAGATTGTCTCCAAATATGGCTAATAACCATTCATGACTCAGAATGAGGAAGTTCAAGACAGAAACATAATACTCAGACATGCAATAAACTTTGATTGAAAGAGTAGCCCACCAATGCAGTGGACTATCCACAAAGAGAATCTTCTTTGGACAAATCTGTACACGGGAAATGCAGAACAAGGAGAATTTACTACAATATGAATGTTTAAAAGACAAACCTTTTATAGATTCCGATAACAGAGGCCATGGGTGAAAGATTCAGTTGCAGGGAGCCACTCCAAACACGTTCACCCTTCGGTGTGCCAACTAGTCTAGATACTGATTTATCAGGACTGCCACTGGATTTCACATCGGCACTCACATCATGGGATTTTATATCTGCACCATCACTGGTTTTCATAACAGAATGACCGTCAGTTTTGTTTCTGGCAGGACTGTCAGTATTGATCACAGCAGGACTCTCAGTTTTGATCACAGTAGGACTGTCGGTTTTTATCACAGCAGGACCGCCACCAGTTTTCCAGTCAGCATCTGACTTTGTATCTGTTGTGCAACTATCATCAACCTTCTGTGGAGAGGCATTAACGGTATCCTTGGGACTTGATACCGAAGACTTCGATTCAGAGACTGTCTCGGAGTCATCCCTGTCTGAGGTGGGTGTAACTTTATCAGGGAGAATCTCAAATGGTGGCTCTGTGTCCAAGGATTCCATGAACTCATCTAGGGAGACAATTGGAGGAAGATCCTTCAATCCATCATCCACCATAAGGCCTTGCATTAAATCAGTGGCTTCAGTAGAAGGAATGGTAAAGGGGTAGACACTTCTGTCTTCTGTATTACTCTTCTCACCTGCAGCATTCACTTTGTCCTTGGGTTTATTGGGTTTCGAAGGGGTAGACACTTCTGTCTCCTTGCTTCTTGGTTCACTATGATTATGCGATGTTGCATCCAGTGGAATATCAACTGAAGCACTATCATATTGTTCTACTTCAACTTCACCCTTATGTGTTTTTTTCACTAAACGTCTCATATCAACTTCCGAATCTGGTAAAACAACCATTTGTGCTAGCTCTTCAGCCTTTGCCATCCGCCATTCAGAAAGCTCCTTTGAAGCAAGTTCTTCTGCAGTCATTGAACACAATCGTTCTGGAGGTATTTCTCCAGACATAACTCTCTCTCTTAGTTCTGGATTATTACGATCTTTTAGATTGAACAAAAGGGACCTTCCCTTCTCTTTATACTTCTTATTCACACCTCCAAATAGTTTGAATAGTTCTGCTTCAATTCTAAAGGCCAACTCTTCTGGAGACTGAACTACTTGTTCTTCTGGGGGTCCACCCATTTCCTCAAGATCCAACATTTCTTCTTCAGCAGGTTGAATTTCCTTCCTTTCTTCCATTTCCATTTCAGAATCCAAAACCCAGGACAGCCCATTTCCCTGCAAAAGTTCATCTTTGACAAACAAGTTGTCACTAAATGAAACATTTTCATGAGGAAAAATATTACTTGGTTGGAATTCATTCCCATCACATATTGAGGTCAATGTGGAAACATTTGTAGTTGCATCAGCCAAATGTGTTTGGCCCGCACCTTCATCATTACTTTTCATAATAGAACAAGTTTCAGTGGATGGAGAATTCTCCTTAGGCTCTTCAGATTCAGGTTTAACAGGATGAGAGCCAGGCTGGGGAGCTTCCTGTGTTTGCCCCTGAATTGCTCCAGTCTCCCCCTGAGACTTCTTTCTAGAATCCACGCATTTATCTTGCTGCTGGTTAACCAATTCCAATGCAGCCTCTAACGATTCCCTCATCTTGGACCTTACAGAATCAAATGATTCATTTTGAAGCTTTCGAGTTGGTTGTATCCGCGGTGTTTGATTCTTTTGACTAGAAGACCGCTGAGACCCAGACCTACCAGAAAAGGATTCCATCTTTACCATTTTCTTATTTGGCACTGGTGAATGAGGAGATCCTGGCACATTCTGCACAGCCTCCATGGACTCCAGCTTTACCATTTTCTTATTGGCCGCTGGCAAACGAGGTGATCCTGGAGCATTGTGCACAGATCCCATTTCTACAGCTCTCCTGTTTGATACAGGCCCTTGCTGCAGCCATGGTCTATGTTCCATATATGCCACACGCTTGTTTGGCATTGACAACTGAGGTGTCTCTGGATTATTAGTCATGGGTTCCAATGTCGCCTTTCGCTTAATTGATGACAATTGATGTGAATTGTTGGCCAATGATCCAAGCTCTCCCAGTTGATTGCTAGGTGTTGAAATTTTCTGTGAACCAAGATTCCCATTCGCACCAAGATTCCCATTCGCACTAGCAATGTGTCCCATTTGGAAGTATGACATTGATAAGCCATGTGACCCAGGATTGTCAGGCACAGGATCCAGCATCAGTTCCATTTGCTGATTTGATACTGAAAGGTTCTGTGACTCGGGGTTACTAGATACAGAACTCATCCCTGCCATTTGAAATTCTGGCATTGATGAGTCCATACCTTTCAAAATGGGGTCCATCTGAGGCATTTCCATGCTTGATATTGGCAACCGTGGTGACAGAAGATTGTTTGACATGCTAGATCAGAACATCAAGTTTCCTGACACTCCCAGTTCGCTCCTAGTCTTCAAGAGGTGCAACTCCAAAGAGAAACATATAAACTGCGATAGAAGAGAAAGAAACTGATCAGAACATGTTCTTCCTTTAACAACGAAAAACGAACAAAGAAAATACAACAAAACTCAGTTCATTAAATTCACAGCGATTTAGACCTCAACAACATATAGAACAATACAAAGGGAGAGCAAAGATCAAAAGGGAACTAGTGCATCTAATCATTAGGTACATATGCAAGAATTCAAGGGCGAAAACCAGAAATAAAAGAACACAAGCCCAACACATAACAACCATTTAGGGTACCTAGGGGACGCTATTTTCAAACACAAATTTCCTAATATTGGGTAGTTAATAACACAGACAAAACAAGGAAGCTACTTGTAGCGCCAATATTGAAAGGCTTAATGGGTTTCAAGTCTACCAAATAGAGACGGCTCATTGAAGTTCAAGCCTTGTAGTAGAATTCTCAGGGACACGACCAGAAACATAAGAGGTTTCTAAGCAAAAACATTAACTCAAATAATTACATCATTCTGTATCAAATCTTTGAGACTTCCATTCTGTACCCAGTACTCGCAACTCACAACTCAAAGCGAACAATAGACATTTAGAACTGGTTAGCACTTTCCTAACCAGTACCTAAACCAAATGATGATGGAAGTTGAATTCCATCTCTCAACGAAACTTCATGTTGAGCTGTCGATTGTGTATGATAAAACCCCTTTTAAACTAACTTAAAAAATTGTATAAGAAAACTTTCTTTGAGTTTTAGATATCCTCCGAACTTAAAAGTATATCAAATTAATTATTTACTTATATTCCCCAATTGTTGCATTCGCCTTTGAACCCACAATAACATGGCTGGGGAATCTGGGCAGCTCAGTAGACAATCATGCTTATTCACATTAAAATTCCGAATTCCAAAAACATTCAATTTATTAAGCTGGGATTACTAGTTGCACAAGCTCTCTCTGTTCTCTTGGGGGCCTAAGCACAGGCAACGATCAACGGGGGTGGAAGCCCCTTTACAACCGGTGATGCCGAAACAATCAAAAATCCACTGGAGAAAGACAAGTATTTCAAGCCAGTAGAAAGAAAAAATCTGGCAGCAGCAAGACCAACCCTATACCAGTTTAGGCAGGTCTTTTAGCACTCTAGTTTCCCGTGAATCAACACCTTGCGGGCCGCATCGATTGAGCATTGAACTGGTGTTGATTTCTTCATCACAGGGTACAATAACCCTCAAGGAAATTCTTCATTTTTGCTATAGCAAGTCCACCATTGAGGGCCCAGAGCTTCTCAAATATTGGCAAAGCAGCACCCAACATTGCATACAAAAACTGCCCAACCAGTAAATCCACCAGCTTAAGGTAATCTCTTTTGTCACATATTCAAAAAAAAAAACAAACAAATTAAAAAGAGAAGGAAGAAGAATCTACAATACACCAACTCTTTTCCCTCTACGGAACAAGAGTATGCACAATTGACTCTTCTGGGAAAATCTACGAAAACTTACTCAAGAAGCATAGATTGTTCTTCAACAAAACATATTACATAGTACATACATAAAGGGGTCCTTTTTTATGGAAGAAAAACGTGTCTTAACATACCAAAGTCGTCAATCTTCATAACCCAAAAACCCTAATTTTAAACACACCAGCGAACACAATTCAACTAGACTCGACCCGAATGCGAAGAAAAACACAAAAAAATTAATATACATACGTAAAAACAAAACAAAATAAAACTAAACGGTAATTATCTCATTCACCAACATAAAAACTAAAAACTGAATCAACCCACATCAATCCAAATTCAAAAAACCCTAATTTCAAAACCAACAGCAAAACCAGCATGAAATGACTAATATCAAATCAAAACGACCGCACTCGCATCCAGAAACACAAAATCCAATCAGAAATTACCACCAATCTAATCTAGACCGTATACTTACATGAACAAAATGGAGCGGCGGTCGGAGAAACTGATCGGCGATTGGGCGGCGAAGCTTTGTGCGAGCTGAGCTGAGGAGGAGAGTCGGGTGGAGTGGTGAGGATTAGGTTTTGGGTGGGTCTGGAAGATTCGACAGAGCGGAAAATAGAAAACCCTAATTATATATAAAGAAAATAAAAATCTGAATGGGACGAGTCGAGGAGATCGTATATATATCGAGTTGAAGCGCCGAAGAGCGGTTCTGTAGATTAAGGTGAGTTGCCACGTGTGGTACCCACCATCTGGATCCATGGCCCACTTTAGAAAACGTCATCACTAGTCGTGAGATCATTAGAGCATCTTTAAAGAAGATGTTAAATTTTAAACATCAAAATAATAATTGATAGTTTATGTAGCAATTTAACATTTTGTATAATATTTTGCTCTACGCGATACGTTAAATAATAATGTCATTTAATAAACATTTTATCTTTTTGTAGAGTCCAATAATCAAGGCAACCAATCAAATATTTCAAAAACATGACAACATTTATTATATATATTATATTAATCTATTAAAATATCATTTAATAAATTTGACATCTTCTGTCAAATTTGACAGCAAAAAGCTTTGTCTTCAAATGACTCAACACCACCTAAGAAATTAAAGGCTCGATTAGAGAGAGTTTGCTGCCATTTTTTACTGTTGTATGCCTACGTGGCAATTTTAACATTTTCTTTGGAGATACTCTTAGGCCTAACAATTTATTACACGACATGCTAATTCGATACGAAAATAACGAGTTTCGGATCAACTTGTCAACGAGTTTGATTGTTATCAAGTAACTCAGTAAAAACATGTTAAAGTGTACGGTCATTAGCAGGTCACCTATTAAGAGTCCGATAAAATATTATTTGTCAAATCTAGACATTTTGCATGTCAATTTTTTGCATAACCTTTTAACCTGACGTGAAACGACATAACCCATTAACAATTAGGTCGTTATGGGTCACATGTTAACAAACTTTTTAAGATAACAAATATGACAAGAAAACAATACGAACACAACAAAGACAACCATTTTGCCAAGCCTTGTGACCATTGGATATATGGAAGGGAAAAAAACAACCATTTTACACAAAATTATACTAAGGACGATCTTAAACCAACAAGTCTCTCTGCTTTGTGGAGGTGGGCAGAAGATGTATATTGTACGCAGTCTTACCTTTGTTTTGCTGCTTTTGTAAAGAGGTTGTTTTCACGACTCGACCCCGTGACATTTTGGACAGCAAGGTGCAACAAAATTGTGGTAGTTCCAGTACAGAATTGAGAAGTTGAAGCACCATGATGACATGTTCTGGTTCATGTTTGCAAGTGTGGTTTTCACATCAACTGATATGTGTTTCACTTCAGTCATGTTATCAATTTAAAAATAATTGGGCAAACAAGTATAAGGTGCAAATTGATATGATTTTAAATTAAAGTCACACGATCTATTTCATCTAGTAATAGTGTGCAATGTGTCCCACCTTTAGTTTTGTCGTATTTTTCGTGAATTCAACTTTATAGCAGATACTATCCTCGACTTTTTACTATTTTAAATTGGGGCAAATGTGAGGTAAAGTATTGTACCCACCCTCTTTTCATTTGATTTCGAAACTCCCTCCTCACAAACTAAAATGGTTTATAACAAAATATCCCATTGTCAAAAAAAAAAAAAAAAAAAAAAAAACTTTGTTAAGGTGGGATAAGATTGCCATCGTGGCTTCGTTTACCCATTAAAGAAAAAGAAGCTACGGAAAGAGAAAAGAGGTAGAAAGCCCCATCAGTGCTTGATCTCTACACTTTATTTTTTATTATAATCAGTTTTATTAGGAAAGTATTATTGGCATTTCAAAAATTTAAGTTTACTCTCTTCACAAGTGCATTTTTATTCCTAAATATAGAAAATTTAGAGTGTAGAATGAGAAATTTTAAATGCTAATAACAATTCCCTTTTATTATTTTCAATTACACTAAGAAGAGAGAGACGGTTTGAACTCGAAATGCAGTTGATTAAAGAAGAAACGTTCACCATTTACAAAATTCTTGATCTCTACCCTCATGCACGCAGATTTTAACCTCTATCGTAAACGTGCACTTATATGCAACCGTTTCATGCAAGTTCTTCTCGTCCAACTTAAATATCCATTTGGTCTAATGACTATTTGCAATGACATTCACTTGTCCTTTTGCTCTCATGTTTATCTCATTTGATACATACAATTAAAGTTTGATAAGGACTTGCCAAGTCAATTTTCTCCAACAGAACATGTCAAAAGTTTCAGCCGCTCAAGGGATAAACAACTGGAGGAGAAGAAAAGGAGAATGTATATACAAACAAGAATCCATCTATTATTATCTAACTAAAAATCTCGGAACCTCTGATCTTTACATCCATCTGTCCTTGAAATTCAAAAAAAAAAAAAAAAATCCATTTTTACTTACAACGACGTCGTAGTAAACTGTCTGTATATCCACCTAGCTCTTATCATCCAAGATAAAAAGTTAAAAAGAATGGGAAAGGTTGAGAACTTGGAGAATCATCCGTCCATCTTAAAACAGAATTCTAGCATCGACGCAGTCCAAGCCACAAAGGAGAAGGTAGCTCACTGCCTAAAACACGGTGTTGGCCACTTCATTGCCCACCCGTTGCTGAATGCTGCTATTGATTGCGGAGAGGGAGGCCAAAAGGCTCTCGCCAACCTCGCTCTTGCAAAGGGGACATGATGCATTGATCTTTAACCACTTATCCACGCACTCCTTGTGGAAAAAATGAGAGCATGGCAACTCTCTCAGCTCGTCGTTGTTTGAGTATTTAGCCAAGCAGATGCAACAAACCTGTTCAATTTTACGGCATAATCAGTAATTATCAAGTATATTAACAGGCAAGCAGATATGGAAAAATCTAGAATCAAACCACCGTCAACCTAAGTCGTCACTTGTCACTAGAAAGAGTTTCAAGCATTTAAAATCCAGTCACCAAATTGATCAGGATCTTGGCTGACTGGATAAAGCAGCAGTACACTCAATGTGAATATGAGAGGAAGCAGGTTTCAAATGGCATGTTATGTTATGCCAAATGTGGGAGGAAGATTTGTAATCACCAAGCTAGTAATATCATGCATTCATTACTCAATTATCACACAAGTACTAATCCGGCAGGCATAAGACCTAGATTATATTATGACGAAAAGTAATATGCTAAACTCGCCGGATAAAACATACCGCATCCTCTCCAGAGATTGCACGCTCCTTCTCAGTTCCTACAGCCACAAAACCACCTTCAGTGGCACCTGAGCTGCCGCCATCTCTGTTATCGCCATTTTTCTTTTTCTTTATCTTGAACTTGTATGTTGGCAGAGAATTAATTGATTCAGGTGTGGCTCCTCGTGCCTGTGCCAGGTCTTCTCGAAACCCAAGGACTGATATAATGCAAGGAAGACAACAGCAGATTGTTGCACATAAAATGAAAGGCATGGCGTATCCAATACAGCTGAATGTAAGAAATACTATACATAACCTGCACACAGAAAACATGGTATGATGTCCCCCACTCTCAACAGCAATGAAATGGTTTACGTAGAACAACTAATCAAATTGGCAAAAGTACCTGTACAGGTTAGGAGCGTCAGCTGCAGATGAGTGCCCACCAAAAATCCAAACATTGCCAACGACAAACCAAACCGCAAAGAAACAATCCAATGCCATCTTGAAGTATTCCACAAGTACCTTGATTCTGTAAATGAAAAATGACGTCATGTATCAGACAACTTTTCAAGTACTAAGTTCCAACTTGCAAGTTGCAACTCAAGTTACTTCTTAAGATAAGGCACATAGGCTAAAATACATAAGTGATTTCATAAATTGAACAAGATTATAATACACCTGCTAAAGTAGAGAACTTGAATGGAAAAACTGAAACGTAATTGCCGCATTGAATATAGGATTATACTAAATTGAACAAAATTCATCAGTCTTTTAGAATTTGCCAATAATAACCACCCTGGAAGATCTAGAAATTAATTTAAATTGACACAGACCAAATGGATTTGGCTCAACAAATAGGTATCTTTCATGGACAAAATAGAATTACCAAAAAAAAAGCACCCGTCAATGGACAGCTACATTGGAACATCGGTAATACGTTGTAAACTCGTAATAAAGAGAAGGGAAAAGAAAATTCCAGATACCAATACACTTTCACAGAAAGGGCCAGTTTGATAACCATTTTGTCTTAGCCTGCAGCTGTGTTGTGTAACCTCAACATGAGCGATTACAGAATCTCAAACTATGCACACTACAGAGTGTTTTCCTCTCTAAAAGGTTTAATGAATCTCTTAAAGGGTTGGGAAAGGTGGTTGAGTAGATGTGCATAAACCACTGACCGTTTTAACTTCCATAGTGTATAGCCACAGCTCATAAAATAGTCTACTGGAATGCCAAGAAACATGCTATGTCCATAACATCAAGTCAAAATGGAGCTTCAATCTTCGTCAATAAAACAAACTGTTTTAAATATGATCAGTCGTCATCATGCAACTTAGAAAGAGCATCCAAATGGAAAAACAGCAACAGAAACATACCTTCTGCTCTGTACTGCGGAACTTTGACTGCTTCTAGAAGATGCAGTGCCAGTTTGAAGATCTTCTCCTTCTGAAGCTCTAGAAAGAGAAAAAGAAAATGGTCTTGCTGGCACATTAACCTGAGAATTCTGACGAGCTTGAGCAGATTCTTGTTCTGCAGCCTGGTTGCGGTGACGATAGCGCCAGTAAAGAAGAGGAAGAATAGCAACACATCCAGATGCATAACCAATAATCCAAGCAAACAATGGGGTGTGAGGATGCTCATGCCTTGACAAAGACAAAACAACAATAGATGCAACGATTTGGCTCACTGTAAGAACAAGTTCAATAGAAATCCACAATCCAGAATTCAATGGACTTCTGCGGCGGCGAGTCTCCCCTCTCCTTACCATTGAAGTGTTCCTAGAGCTTGGTCCATTAGATGAAAAGATTGAAGGTTGGAATGCGGATCCTCTTGGACTAGTTGAAGGTCTGTCCTCTTGCTGTGACGCATTTGAGTTATTTAAAGATCTACCATGAGGCAAGCTAGATGGGGAGGCATCACTACTCCCAGGTATTTCAATAATATGCTGAGTGTGGTTCATATCT